AATATATACTTAATTGATAATTAAGTGAATTAATTTTCAAGCGAATGTTTCAACAAATGTTTCAATATGAGTTTATTGAGGAATAGATTTTTATACAAAATAACAATAAAATTGTACAATGAAAGGTAAAATGCATTGTCATACATAAAATTCAACCAAAGAGTAAAATAAATAAGTGAAATGAAAACTAATTACATCATTATGCATAAATAGGGAAAAAAATTGAATCTTGCTTTGACATAAACGCTTGGAACAAGTTGATACGCACCTGGGTTACAATTAGATTGAACACCTTCCACTTGGAAACATCCTCTTCCTTGAGATCCCGATAACCTGGAATACACCGGGAGGGGGTCCTGACAGAAAACTGTCCGACGCTTAAGTCAAAACTTGCTCAAACTGCAAAAATAGAGTACATGAAATAAGCGTAGGATTGTGTGTTGTGTAAATCGAGATAACCTATTGTCCATGTATGGGACCGTATACCTCCAAACTGAAGAAAGTTCTTGTTAGAGAAGAGCTCTACTTGGATTCTACTTCCCTAACTTACCACGTCTCTATCTTGGAGAGAGTCTTTTGAGCGAGTGATTCTTTCCTTCTTACTTGAATTCTTCCTCCCTTTACTGTTTTAACTCAGGGATCCTGAGGTCATGTATCCAACCTCCCATCTTGTCTGTTACTACTCTTTTGAGGACATCCTTGACCATGTCCTGAGGTCTAACCGAACTCATCTTTGGGTCCAACTTGTCTCCAGGCTACCCGACCTTGATATGCATCGAGGTCGGATACTTTATCGGGCTCTTAAAGGACGGTACCTCCAGGTCGGGTTGGTTCTGTAAGCTCGGCACCTTAAACCTGTGTTCGAGCTCAGCTTGGGTTTAGTCGAGCTACTCTCTCAACCGACGTACCGAGCTATTTTCTAGGTGTTATATCATCTAGCACCCCCTCCTTCTCCCCAATTTCAAAACGAGTTATCCGGACTTGTACTGAAATGGACTTGGATGCCTGAACCTAGCACCTTTTCTCGTTCAATATACTAAATACCTCAGGAAAGCATGGGGCGCCAAAATGATACTTTGTTCATGCTTATATCCCAATTTTGGACACATACACTGTACACGTGGATCAGTCAAACCGACTCTTTGGAGGATTCTTCAATCTTATACCCTTTCCAGTTGTCTGATTTCTCATTTCTCCCAGCTGTAATTTATTTTCAACCTATAAATAGTCTTCTTTCACCCCTTTGTGTTCTATTCTGCATTTTTTCTTTTTTTGCTCAACTTTCTTGTAAAAAAATCTCTATTTATGTTCTGCATCTTCGGCGACCTTCCGGCAACATCTTCGACATTCTTCCTCCTTCTCGCTTATATGGGTATGTTGTGGCCCTCCTTAAAATCTTTTGCACTTTTACTTCTTTTACTCTTCTTGGAGCCCTACCAGGTTAAACCATAGCCTTGTTCTTCCTTACCCTCTGATACCAGACCAGCATGTCGTTTGATACCTCAACTGCTTCTTCCCTGGAACGACTTCCTGCCCAGACCAATCGTCCCCTTAATTTTGGAGCCCGCCAATTTAACCCTCTTTCTTTTTAGGCCCCTGATCGGATCGACATCCTTCTCTATATGGCTGAGCTTCAATTCCCCTAGGTAATCAGGACTCCCAAGGCTGGGGAAACCTTCGAGCAGCCCCCCGAGGGCTAATATTCTTTTTTTTTTTTTGGATCAGGTGACCACTGGCTTAACCTTTCTTCCTAGAAGGGACATGATAGAGCTAGCCCAGCTGTACCAGGCTCCTTAGAACCATTTGACCCCGAACACTATTCGCTTTCATGGTATGATTTGTGATTTTGAGTCGGTATTTCTTGAAAAACTTGATCATGGGTTTTTTCTTTTACTGCCATTGGTTGAAACTAGTGAAACAATTCTCTACCTCTCCGGTAAGAACAATGCTTCCTTCTTGAAGGATCCTACCACCAAAATCCCCCACTGGAAGGAGAGATTCTTTTTTGTCCGACCTCTCCCCAATGCTCTCTAATTTTCTTCTTATGTCTTTCTAAAAAACCTTCCCAAATGCAAAAAACCACGGTGGAATCCGCAATATGATGATTTGATCTCCCCCTGGAATGGGACCCCTTATGACCTGATCCTCTTGACCAACGACGCTCAGCTGAGGTCGGCGTTTGGTCTTTCTGGCCGTCCCTTTTGACCTAGATAGCTTTCTTGTTTTCTCTCCTTCCATATTGTATTGCCTTTATAATTCTGATAATATTGCACTTTTATATTGCAGACGCCATTCTCAACGCTAAATACAAGCTGCCGCTGGTGGCTACATGGGCTTTTTAGTGATGACGAGGTATGGTCAAATCTCCCTAACCTTGCCGGCTTGATGAGCCTACCGAGCATCCCTAGTTGGAGAGAGCTGTCCTTGCCACCCTTGAGCGAGTGGCGGCCCGAGCCAAACGGGATCATGGTGCTGAGTCTTCTTCAGTATCCCCTTTGGCTTTTTCGTTTTTGATTTCTTTTATGCTATCACAAGGAGGGCTTTTGTGTAATGACTTTCAAACTATGAATGCAGCAACTGTTTGGCTTTTATGCATTGGTCTGAATATTATATATGACCCCTGTTGTTTCTTCCTTCTCTTATGCTTGGTTGAGGTCTATTAATACTTGTCTTATAAAGAGATTTTTTCTTTGTCATTACCCTAGCCTCCGAGCTAAGGCACAGAGTTATGCTCAATAATATTCATTCGTAGACCTTGCTCGGAGTTCTGCCCTATGTTTAGTTTAGAGGCCTCCCAACTTTAGCTCAAAGTTTTGCTTATCTATATTTTATAGGCCTCCGAGCTGAAGCTCAGAGTTTTGCCTAATGTTTTCTTATAGGTCTCACAGCTTCAGCTCGGAGTTCTGTCTATCGTTGTTCTATAGTTGTATAGTTGAAAATAAGGAGTTTCATTTAATTTTTAAATATAAAAAAAACGTGCACATATAATAAGGGGATTTTATGTGTTCTCGCACCTCGAACTGGCTCTCCATTGATCCTCGTTCAACTTGCTCCTCGGAGACCTCAGAAGGTGTTGATGAAGAATCGTGTATCTTGACTCGGTTTGTGTATAAACATGCACTAACGGCCTTCATTTTAGACACGATATATTGTGGAAAAACACGCTCTAATGGCCTAGTTTTATCACACGAGAGATTGCCTAATTGGACATTTTTTCTTATTAATTCTTGAATGATTAATTTAAATGACAGTGACTAGTATTTATAGAGGCTAACCAAGTATAATCCTGTGAGATCTAGAATTATAATTTATGGAAATAAATAACTAAGTATCCTAGAATTACTCAATAATTAATTAGGCACATGTCTTTATTCAAATACTAAATAGACTAAGGGAAATAATATCCTAATAGGTTAAGGTCTTGTTTGGCGATCAGCGAATAGCGGATTGTATCAACGGATAGCGAATAGCGGATTACATTAGCTGAGTTGACCAGCAGATTGTATTAGCGGTTTTTAAATAAGTATTTGGTAAATAGCTAAAAGCTTATAGCTGTTTGACATTGCAAAATGACCAATAAGGACATTTTATTATTTAGGGTGTATTCTTTTAAGAATTAGTGTTTGGTAAATAGCTAAAAGCTTATAGCTGTTTGACATTGCAAAATGACCAATAAGGATATTTTATTATTTAGGGTGTATTCTTTTAATAATAATATATTAAAACATTTAATATTCTTTAGTTGTAATATATAAATATATATATATATATATTTTAAAATTTACTAACACTTGATGAAGAAGTTATGAATTTTACATTTTTCTAGATACATTAATCATATGGATGACATATTATTATTTATAAGCTCTATAAACCAATGTAGATTGTAAATAAATAAGACAAACTAAAAAGTTCCAAGTAAAACATCTCAATTGTGAATCCTCTATCCCAAAAAGCTCCTCTAATGAGCTTTTTCTAAATTAGAGTTTTGGGCCCAAAAAGCTTATCAAATAAGCTATTTACCAAACAAGCTCAATAGCGGATTTGACGGGTCAAACCTCTCAATTAAGTCCAATCCGCTAATTTATCTTCAATCCGCTATCTACCAAACGGGGCCTAAGTAAATCAGCCACCATCTTCTAGAGAGATCTCGACCTTGCTTGGGTCGCACGCCTTCGAGAGAGTTATTTATATTTATAGAGAGTTATTAACTTCCTTAATACGTTTTGTTTTCGTCCGCCAGATCATTTATCCTTTTTTTATCCTGAACCGACACGTGTTCCTTATGGACAACATGTACTTAACCGCCTCTATAGGTCGGCTTTTAGCTATAAGATGCCTCGATTGGTTGACCCTTAGCTATAAGATGCTTCTACAGGTCGACTTCCCACTACAAGACGCCTTTGCTACACTATATCGAGCTCAAGACTAGCAAAGCTCTTATTCACCAAGCCATATAATCTGCCAGCGTCAACTACCTCGTCAACTGTAGCTTTTGAGAATCAGATCAAAAGAAATTCCGTCAATAGGCTAGCAAGCGCATACTAGCACGTAAATAGGAAACAAGCTGCTCTCCGTATTACTTTTCTCGGCTAAGGTGCATTCCTTCCGTGCCGATTTGCTACTATTTGCAAGCCTCATAAATGTTGAGGTACTCCTATGCCTAGATATCGATATTAATATCTTTGCCCGAGCTATTTATGTGCCGAGCTATTAATATTGGTAAGCTGTTTCTAAACGAGCCGTCATAGCTAACTCCGGTCCCTAACCGAGCTAACCTTGACCGGTTTTATGGAGCTATTCTTATGTACTTTATCAGGTTTGGTGTATTTTACCAATTAATCTTAATTAAAAGCAACATGAACACAACCGACAAGTCGTGAAATGTTAATATTTATGTTGTTATTATTGTAAAATAATTTCAAATCATTATATCATCCAACAATTTTTTGGCATAAATTTTTTGCCCGTCCGACAGTTTCCGAGTTAGGTCAGGAGATGCTCATGCTGTAAGCGGTGTACATAGATGCAACGTGGAATAAAAGTGCGAAACTGTCTTTCAACCCCGTTTCACAATCCTAATAAACGGTCGAGATGTCCCCACACTAAGGAAATCTAACAAGAAATGGTAAACCTGAAATCGAATAGCCATGGCAGCTCTGCGCTCTCCACACTTCGTTTCTGTAAGTTTTCTCTCGATCGCTCGCTCTCTTTTTCTTTCTCTGCAGCTTACTATGAAGTCATGCTTCAGTTGCATCTCTTGACCAAACAGCATAGCAAGCCAATTTATTGGAGTGCGTTTCATTGAGCCTAAGCGTGGGTACCATTGATAGTGGTATTCGATTAAGGAGATTTAGGAGATTGAAAATAGGATCTGCGTTGATGTTGATGATACCTTGGAGGTTATTTTGTTTCTCTATATCTGGAGAAAACAAATTTTGCTCACAATTTGGACATTTTAATAACCTATTTCTGTCAACTGTTCAGGAGAGTTTGGAAGTCTTATCATTCCTAGGGTTACATATGCAAACCAAATAACCAATGAACATTCAAATAATAATAATAATAATAATAATAATAATAATAATAATAATAATAATAATAATAATAATAATAATAACTACAACTAAGATATGGAAGGAGTGGGGAAAGAAATGGGTTTTGATCTCCCGATTTCCCCTGTTTTTTGGATTCTAATTTGGGCTAGTACTTAGGCAAAATGTGCACAACTTTTGGATGCTTTTGATGGGCTGTTTATATCTTTGGAAATTTGAAGTTGGTTGCAATCTGAATATGATGATGTACAATGTAGAATTATGCATGAAATACATTGTATGTGAAGAGAAAAAGTTGCTAGATTTTGGTGATATTTTATTTAAATCTTTGATTATTTGAACACGAAAAAGGTCAGAGGCGCAATATCGTTTCTTGGAACGTTTATGGCTAGCAACCCGCCTCTACTAAATCTGCGTAAGTTCGGTCTTTCTCGATGTGAAACTTTTTATTCATCTTCTTTATATTACTTATCAGTCACTAGTATGATCTCTCTGTGCAGACACTCCCCGATCAATTGCTAGATTTGGAGAAACATTCTGTGGATCAAAGTTCATATCTTCTCAGGGATCCCTCAAGCTCATGCAGAGAACACACTCCATTAGGCCTTCTGGGGCTTCCATGGATAATAAAGAAATACCTTCGAATTTCTTGAGAGACAAAATGATGGTTCCTGATTCTGACCCTCCCAGTGAATACGATATCAGTCGTTTGTATCAATTTTTTGATACTCGGTATAATGGTTTCCAGCAATATCTAATGAAGTTGGAAGAAACCTTTTTTACAGTAATTCATTAGAAACTACTTGAACACCCAGAAATATATTAAAAACTTGTGACTTCTGGCTTTCCTTACTAAGTTAATTCTTTTTCTTGAGATTTAAGTTTAGAAACTCAATAAGATGTATGATATCCGAAGTTATACTAAGATAAAGTAGGAAAACCTTGGCCTTCAATTCATCAGCTTAGAACATTTATTCTACTGCATACTTCCGTTCAATAAGAGAGAATACCTGTATTGCTTATGACTGAGTGGGAAAAAATAGTGCTACCAGATATATCTTTGGTATTGTCACCTATTTTGAAGTGTTTTATATTGATGCTAGTGGTATTGCTCATAGGGTTCCTGGAAGACAATTCTAATTTACCAATGTCATCTTGTCAGATGAAAATGGATTTTCCTGTTCTAATTTTTTTTTACACATTTGATACATAGTATGGTGGTTTTGTATATCTGGCGAGGTTGGTGTTCTATTGGGTCAAAACTAAGGGTTATCAGCATTTTTAGTTCCTCTAGTTTTAGTTTAAGAAGTTAGGTAGCCGCTTAATTGAGCTAAAAGATTTTTGTAGTACAATATGTGAAGACGTGTGGGATTAATTGCAGCTCAAAGCTTGTTATCTTGACTGGAGCTGGGATAAGCACAGAGAGCGGTATTCCTGATTATAGAAGGTGAATTCTCAACCCTCTCTATCGATTATCACCTTGTCGATATCCCATTTATTTAGTAGCAATAGTTACAATTAAAATATTTCTATGCTTCTAGCTCCATATTTTTTAATGCTTCATACCTCAAATGTGGGTATGAGTTTTATGAGGAATGTAACTGAAGCATAATAAAATTTATTGTACTTGCGTGTAGGTTCTTGTCTTGTTGAACTTCATTGTATATGTACATTTTTTTCTGGAATAATTTAGAAAACTAGTTTTGCCCCGTGCATTTGCACAAAAAACGATATAATAGAAGAGAAAGTAATTAAAAATATAGAATAAAATAAAAATAATAACTTAATAAATGTGAAAAAAATAATTTAAAAAAGTGAATTTAAATATTATTAAACACTTTATATACAACATTCGTGATTTTCCTATCGTCAGAATCTCCATCACAACAAATCATTATCGTTAATTCATTCGACTCGTGACTTGGGATTTGATTTTTCAAAATATTTGATGTATGTTTGTAACATCCGAGAAAATATTTTTTTATTATTGTATGACTACAATAGAAAATAGAGATATTTGTAGTCATTCTTAATTAATTGTGAAATATGTATTTATATAATACCAAAAAATATATAGTATCAAAATAAAAACAAAAATATTTTTATTAGCACATAAGGCATTACGGAAATGGGCACATTCCAAAATGGGAGCTGTCAAAATAAATTGTGTAACTGAAAGTTACATATTTTTATTAAATGATGAACATATTTTTATTAAATGAACCCATATTATATTATTATTAACTGCTGGTTGAATAAAATTTATTGAAACTTGCCAACAATTATATATATATATATATATATATATATATATATTAATTTTGGCCTTTGAACCTTTTGCTGGAACACGAATTCCTTATTATTTGCTCAATCTTGTAGCAACATAACCGATAATATAGCTGATTGATCGGATTTTTAGATCTCTTTCCATCAATTTTCTCCAATAAATTTTGAAATGTTCTGTTTTCTGGATTTCTTCTTTAGAACAGCTTAAATGCACCCCATTGGTGTTACATTTAGTCTGACCAAAAGAGACTATCAATTAGCTCGGGAATTGATCTTTTATTTATTTCTTCAACATTAATTGTACATTTTGTAACATCGAGCCTTGTGAGATTGCCACTTCCGTAATGTACAAGCACATTAGTATGTATTATGGTGTTGAATTCTAGATTTAGTGTTTGCTTATGATGTTTATTTCTCATAAGTTGGTGTCATTTTTGAGCTCCCACTTGGATGTTCACCCCTGTAGGCAGAGTGAGCAGAATTTTTCTTGGATAAGTCAGCTTAAGAATTTCATTAAGCACCAAATGTGTGCACTACAATAACTCGATCTCCTTTAATCACCCCTGATCTTATTTCAACGTTTAGAATTGTTACCAATTAATGTTATCTTATCGTAGACTAATTGCTAAATCTCCTTTTATTGTCGTCGCAGCCCTAATGGAGCTTACAGTACTGGTTTCCGGCCGATTACTCATCAGGTGATATGAAGGCATGTGCTAACAATTAGCCTTTCCATTATTGTAGAATTTTAAGAAATTCAGCAATTCTCTTATCCGCTTTAGTCTCTATAATACTTAAAATGGTGCATGCATGAATGCCTATAGGTTAGTATGATAATTGTGCGTACCAACATTATTTACATATGTTAAAACTTTTACAATTTGCGCACGCTCATTGAATGCAAGTGCTAAAGCAGTAGGCCATTATATATGTTTGGCTGTGCATTTGAAAAAACCAATCATAGATATCTAACTAGGTCAAACCCTGAAGCATAACAATTTTGAGTAAAAATGGGTCTGTTTGTGTTCAGGAATGACCGAATGGGTCAGTGTCTCAGTTGATCAATGCAATATTCTTGTGTTGGATAAGTAGTATCCGAGATGCTTACCCTTTCTCTCTCTTTGCCGAGGACTTTGTTTACCCTTTTTCTCTCTTTCTTTTTTTTTTTTCCCTTTACTTTTCTTTTGGAAACTTGCAATGGCAAACACTTGTATATGATTGTTATCGACACATGAAAAGGCTTTAAAAATTTAAAACTCAATCACTATTTCGACAAACAGCAATTTATTCGTTCCTGTCGAGCCCGAAGGCGGTATTGGGCAAGGAGCTATGCTGGATGGAGAAGATTTACTGCAGCACAACCAGGGCCGGCGCATATCGCATTAGCTTCTCTTGAGAAAGCTGGCCGTGTAAATTTTATTATTACACAAAATGTAGATCGGTAATGACTCTTCCTTAAACTCTAGTTATCAAATGTTAGGGTGTATGCAGATCCATTGAAACGAGGTATAACTGAAACTGCTGTAATGCTTATTGTCAATCTTTTATCAGTATTGATGACATGAAATGTGACCATGCGCATGAAGTGGGGGTTTGTTGTTGTGTACTGCCACATCACCTATATAACTTGAACGCATGTAATCATATAGATGGACACACACAAATACGCACACACATGAGAATAGATATAGTTATACATGAATGTATTTTTCTCTTTGTTTCCTTTATGACTTCTAATTCTGCCAACCAGTCATAAATTTTGGTCTCACAAGTAACATTTTTTAATTTTTTTGTGGTACCCACTCACTTTTTCCCCATCTTGTATATTCCTTACAACAACAACAACAACAACATACCCAGTATATTCCCAACAGGTTGGGGTCTGGGGGGTCAGTTGTACGCAGACCTTACCCTTGTAATTATACAAGGAGGCTGTTTCCGTAGCGACCCAAGGTGCATTGCGCCGTTTGATATATTTTTTTTCTAGAAACTTCACTAATAGAAGAAGCACTAGAATTTAATTGAGCCATTTTGATCTAGTCTATTATTAGCACTATGCCAGGAGAATTGTCAACAATGACTCTTCCAGCTCCATTTGCAATGGACAACATCTTGTATATTCCTTATATTACATAATTCTTTCACAGTTGCAACAGTTTCTAAATTTGTATGCTCGTTTGCAGTTATGATTAAATTTGTGATTTACACCAGAGAACCTGGTTATTAATATGTCCTACCTACCATAACCTTTGAATTTGAAAAGATAACTTAGCAACTGATGTTTAATCGTTTCTTCACTCGAACGTGTTGAGTTTGGTTGTACTTGTATTTCTCTTATAAAATTTGTGAATCCATCACTCGTGGTTTTTAACTGATGATAAAGATACATTTTATTTCTTGTTCACAGGTTGCACCATCGTGCTGGCAGCAATCCTCTCGAGTTGCATGGGACTGTATATGTAGTTGCTTGTACTGATTGTGGTTTTTCTCTTCCACGAGATTCATTTCAGGACCATGTGAAGGCTCTTAATCCTAAGGTTGGTTCTCACACATCGATATTCTTTTGCTAGGACATTGCTTCAAGTAATTGACCAATAACGGATGTTGGCACTGTAAGAGTAAACTCATATTTGAGTTTCCTTGTTTAATTAGTTGGCATTATTGGCTATTCTTTTCTCAAATTCTGAATGAGAGTCAATTGTTTTCTAATATCTCTTTGCAACTCTTGAAACTGTATTGTAGTCAGAGCTCTTAACCTATGGATACACATATTTTATCTCTGCTGAAACTGTTGCAAATTAATTTTTGTTCAGACTCATGTATTTGGAGGTAAATGCTCTCGTGGTTTATGTGTAGGCCAGTTGTCTGATCTAATAAGATTGATAGCTTTAAAAACAAAAATTCTTGAATGTTGCATGACTATTTTCTTATGCATTTCGTGGTCCTTTTCTGGTTATTTCCCATGCTCATATTTGATTTAGTAACTTCAATAGCAATATGCTTACTTCTTTGAGTTCACCTACAAGGGCACTTAATCTGTATCCACCGAGGAATATTGAAAAAGTACTAGCTGCAGTTCTTTTTCTGGAGTGTATGAGTTTCCCCTTTGTACATCAAATAGTTAATACCAAAGGAACTGTAAAGCTATAATACAAGCTTCTTTCTTTATTGTTGTTTTATGTAGGCTTATCCACTCATTGCTGTGGTCTATTGAAATATCATGCTAGACTTTTTAATGTCATTGCAGTGGGCAGAAGCAATTGAAAACCTGGACTACAACAGCCAGTCGGACAAGAGCTTTGGTATGAAACAAAGGCCTGATGGTGACATTGAGATTGACGAGAAGTTCTGGGAGGAGGAATTCCACATACCTGATTGCGAGAGGTGTAATGGAATACTGAAACCTGATGTAAGCAATTGTCAATTTCATGTTATTTTGGCTTCGTTTATTTTAACTTAGAACAACATTTTCCACCACGCTGAGAAGTTCTGAAAGCTAGTATTTGCCACACGAATTCTGTGAATTTTGAAAAAAAAAAGTGCTTTTCCTCTGAGTCTTAATTTTTTTTTCCAGCTTGTTTCCTCTCTACAGTAACATCATATAGTAATGTCACTTCATAAATCCCTTTCTGATAAGAGCCCTGGGACAGGAACTAGACAAGGATTGAGTTAATTCCAAAATTAGACAGGTTTTTTGGTGTGTGATTAGAACTCTGTAGGCGGTTATGTAATACCCTCCTAATAATCAGGCATCAGTTTTTTTATTTTCCGTTTAAGCTTCACTCAATAAAGTGTCCCTTTTTATCCCTTTCCTTTATATACTCTGTCCGTCTCACAAAGATAAGACTTACTGCTTTCTGCACACCGTTTCAGAAAACACAATCATTTGTTAGGAAAAGAATAGGAAAACTCCCATATATACCTTCTAAAACAATTATCACTATATTTCTATAACTCTCTTATTGGTAGCGACATAAATTAAATAAGGGCAAAAGTAGAAACTTAACATTTTACATCCTCTACAAAAACTAAAAGCCTGTCATTGTTGGATACCTGAAATAGTTGTGCCCTATCTTTGTGGGAAAGAGGAGTAGTAAATTTTTTCCTCCTTTTACCCAGAGAGGTAGCTGACTCTGTGACTCTTACAAATCTCTTGGTTTATGTGCACATTCATTTTCTGGCTTCTTGTGCACTATGTCAATATATCTGTTATTAGAAAAGCAATTTAATGTTCATAAGTGTGTGTTGAATCTAATTTTGTGTCTGATTCATGATGGTTTTTGGTGTCTAAAGAATGTAACTTCTATCTTGTGACTGATCATTTGTAAATTAACTTGCAGTCTTTTCACTCTTTGATTTACGCAATACGTTTTCAGGTTGTCTTTTTTGGCGATAATGTTCCCAAGGGTAGGGCTGATAAAGCGCTGGAAGCTGCAAAAGAATGTGATGCTTTCCTTGTTCTTGGTTCATCATTGATGACCATGTCTGCTTTCCGCCTCATCCGGTAAATTGTTAATATAATTTTTATCTTCATGTTTATAAAAGGAGTTGCTAATGAGATTGCTGGGTTGACTTTTAAAGAGCTGCTCATGAGGCTGGTGCTGCCACTGCCATTGTTAACATCGGCATAACCAGAGCTGATGATTTTGTTCCTCTGAAAATTAAAGCTAGACTTGGCGAGGTATTTTTATGTTTCTTGTTTTTTTCTTACAAGGTTCTCTTGAGCTGCAAGTGACTTACACGTATATTTGGATTATGGTGGTGCAGTTATTGCCGAGATTGCTTGCAGCAGGATCACTCAGTGTGCCTATTGCATAGAGCATGTGAGGAGAAAAGTGTACTTGAAGAATTTGAAGGTAAAATGTGATATGCTGCATTCTTTAGTCAACTCTCATTTATGCGGACCGGGAGCTAGGGGAACAGCTATGGAGGAGGAAGAAGCGAAAATAGTTATCACACATCAGGTGTGGAGGTTGAGTGAGTTGGTTGATGGCCTTTTCTGTTTGGATTTGTGTGTATATATATATACTCTTTCTCTCTGTGTTTGGATTTGTAGGAAAAAATTATATTTCAGACTATAAATATTTTAATTAAAAGAGTTGAAAAATAAAATTATGTATTATATATAAATATTAGATTTGGTAACAAACTTTTGGTTGTAGTAAAAGGTGGGTTGGTTCGATTTGATTTATTTTGTCATCGGTTTGTTCAGTTGCAATTTTTCGGTGAAAAATACCATTTAACATCGCTGCCAGAGATAGTAGGTGAACATATAACCAATATCACCAACACATGGAGCAAGAGCGCCGAGTCTACGAAAGCACAGACAGACGGTAGTTTTTACTTTCTAAAGTTCTTGACAAATGCATTATTCGATGTGATACTAGTTAGCAATCTTAGAAACAGATTTTGGCGATATAGGGTGTGATTGTTAAAGGAATAATTTGAGTGAATTAACTCAAAGTGAACTTTTTTGAGTTAATTAGGATTAATTTAGAAAAAGTTGTGTAGTTAGTTGTTAGTGGGATTTTGAGTTTATATTAAAATATATTTAAAATAAAATAATTAAAATTGGTTTGACGTAAAAGTAGGAGAGAGATAATATGATGTGATGTGTTAGTTAAAATTATGTGAGTGGATAAATAGTGAATTAAAATTGATATGATGTGTAAAAATGATTGATTATTATTTAATTATATTGATAATATTGAGGATAGTAGAGTTGAGTTAAGGCTAAGTTAGATTTTGAGTAGAATTTAGAGGAATTTACACCTCATACTATCAGATATGTTTAATATTACACTTTTATCTCTATTATATTCTTAATTATAAAATTACTAAAAAAAGTCATAAATATTACAATTATACCTAAAATAATTGTGTAACTGTTATTAATGAAATTTGGGCAAATTAAATGCAATTGATATCCGGTCAAAGATACCCTATCTCTGCAAAAGAGTCGTTCATGTAATTGAAGAGTTCTCCCTCGTGAGATTTGTTCTCTCTCTAGAGACCCTACTTCTATTCATTGGATTTAGCCGCCGCACCATCACCTTCTTCATCTCCATCGTCGGCGCCGGCGTACTTGGCCTCCCGTACACTTTCATGCGCACCGGATGTCTGACCAGCCTCGTCACCGTCTTCCTCGTCGCTGCCCTCACCTATCACTGCATGATGCTCCTCATCCACACCCGTCGCAAGCTCGAGGACTCCGCCGCCTGCGCCTTCCCAAAGATCTCATCTTTCGGAGATCTAGGGTTGGCCGTCTGTGGGCCCATCGCCAAGTTCGTCGTCGATGCACTGATCGTCCTCTTTCAAGCCGGATTCTGCATCGGCATACCTCACCTTCAAAATTGGAGATTTTTTAGGAAAATTTGGATTGGGGGATTGGTGGGATGTGGCGTAGGCGTTTGGGATTTTCGGTGTCCATGAATTGAGGGAGAGTTGTTGGAGTTGTAATTTGAGGTAGGATGTGGAATCTTTGACTATTTTTTTTTTTATTTTTCTTTTTTCTTTTGGTTTTATTATTGTTTCAATGTAGACGATATATTATTGATAGAGTTAGTTCATTGAAACGAGTCTTACTCGTTGGTTAAGAGTGTTATATGTACAGTATATGATGGGTATATGTACAGTATATGTTAAATATATATTTTTTTCTATCTATTTTGACGAAAAACTTCTCAGAGGGTAATTGTCGAACACTTGGTGTGCTTAATTTGTTGATAGATAGTTCTATCCTGTACATATTGCGGGTATATGTTGTGGGTATATATAGTATATTTTCAGGATATTTTTCGATATGACAATATGTATATTTCGGGTATGAAAATTCTGTACATGATTTACATGTTACCATCAGATATGAAAATTTACACGTTGCGGGTATATACCAAAGTTGTACAACACACATATACATAGAATATACATAGAATATACATAAAATATGCATAAAATACACACTCGAGATTCACGTAACTCAAATCCGCGACACCACATATACATAAAATATACTTTAAATATACACTCGAGTTTCAATCGTTTCTCAAAATCGAATTTAGAACCCACATATACATAAAATATACCTAAGATATACACTCGAGATCACGTAAAAATTCTGAATGAAGGCCGTCGGAAAATTCTGCTCGCCGGCGTGTGTTTCTTTCTTTTGTCCTGTCCGTATCTGTCAATATTATGAATATAAATTCAAATATGATATCCTTCCATCTTGAGAGCTGAAATTATGGGCTAGAAACATGGAAAGGTTGTTCCATATCATGTAACTGATTTAGGCATGACTTTAATTAATTTTTATTTTTTAGGTATAAACACAATTTAATTGGTTAGAGTGATAAATGTGCAATTATTTAAAAAAACGTGCAGTATAGGTGCAAATCTCCCTAGAATTTATTTGGTTTGAGTGAATCCTTTAACAAACACAGCCATAGTGTACATAGTGTGTACATATAGTAAATAAATTGAATAATTTGGGTAGATACGCAAAATACCCGTTAAGATCATTTTTACGTTAATATTTAAAGGTGTGATTGGATATGAATTTGATTGGTTTTTTTATTTTTTATTTTTTTTTTCTAAAACAATAGAAACTTCATTCAATAACAAGAAATACAAGCTCTAAATAGCCCCCATAAGTTCAATACATACACAAAGATCATCAACATGATGATCTAGACTCCCAAACTAACAAACTAAAGAAACATGCGCAGATAGAGGCAGTAGAATCTGAGTCCTCTAACTACTTCCAATCAACTAACACACAGAAAATACAAAGCATAAGCTCAGACAACAATTACACATAAACAAAGAATCCAAAGATGAAAAATATGCCCCACGGAACCTTAGGACCTAGCAACAATAATCTTCATCACTGATCTCCCCATGGAGTTTGGTGTCTGCAAATTCCACCCAGTCTGCATGAGCTGAGCTAAGAACCACATGATCAGACATCTACACATTTTGAAATTTTAAGAGATTTCTGGATTTCTACAACCACCAGAGAATGTATGTGGTTAGCTCAATTCTTGCTTCTGAAACTCCTTTCCTATCCACAACACATACATTCCACCACCAAAGCTTGAATGATCCTGTTTTATCAATCTCATTCCAACTGACAAGAGCCAATTTCCAAATTCTTTTAGCCCGGGTGCAGTGGAAAAGGATATGTTCCACTGTCTCTAACTCTTCCCCACAACCATAACACCAAGGGTCAATGCCTAATCCCCTCTGTTTCAAATTTTGGCTTACAGGTAAAGAGTTAGTATAGCATTTCCAAACGATATCAGTGTTTGGCATGGGAGCATAGATTTGAATGACGATGATATCAGAATGAGTGAAGCTGGATGCAATAGGAGTTTGTTCGACAGAATTGTGGGAGATAGACGAGCTAGCTTGATCGTCATCAGATGAGCCACGGGAGCAATTTGGCAGCTGCAAAGTCAGTTGGAGGTACGAGAACTAAAAAAAAAAATTCTTTCAGTTTATCTTTGGGAGTACAGTGGACAAACAAAGAGTCAAGGCAGGAGTAAATTGGGTATTTGAAAATCAACACCTCATCCTATCGGATTGGGAAGAGGGTCTCATAGAAAGTCATAAGAGGTTCTCTAAGTTAAAGCTTTGGGTCCAAGTGAATGATATCCTCATCAATTAGTTGTGCTCAGATGTGGACTCAAGATGGGGCAAGTATTAAAACAAACTAAGAATGTTACTATGGTTAAAGTTGAGGGGCAGAGAGGTAGTTTTCTCAGACTATTAATGGTAATTGATGTGGAACAACCTCTGCCAGGAGTAGCTAATTTAAAGTTGCATAACACTCAGGTGATGGCCAGATTCCAATATGAAAAGCTCATAAATACTTGTTACTATTGTGGGTGCAATGGTCATCTGGAAAGATCTTGTAGGAAAAGAACTGAGGATATAGATAAAGTGGTGCTATTTGAGGGACAATATGGAGAGTGGCTGAGAGCTTTAGAAGGTAATGTGGGTGGGTGGGTGGGGGTGGGGGGGAACTAGCCCCACTTTCAGTCCTTGGAGCCAATCTACAAAATCTTCTAGTGCAATCCCAGAGTCAAAGAAAGATAGCAAAGGACAAGATCCAGGAAACAAGACAGGAAGACCATTTATTCCCATTTAACCTCACACTCAACCAACCCCCGATGGAGAAAAGCTCTTCCCGAAGAGAATCGTCGCTCCCCTAAGAGAGAATTTCTAAAGACACACTCTTCTCTTAACTAGTTAGGAATTGGAAGACCATTTCCTTAACTTCGAAGAGATAATTAAGCTACATTTTTTTAATCGTATTAATTTTAAATAATATAGTATGGTTAGTTGTTAGTAGGTATATTAAAGTAATATTTAAAAAAAATAACTAAAGTTTATTTGATGCAAAAGTAAAAGAAAATTATTGGAAGTGATTGTTAGTTAAAATTATATGAGTGGATGAATACTGAATTAAAGTTAATGTGATGTGTAAGAATGATTGATTTTGATATTATTTAATTATATTGATAATATGAAGGGTAGCGTGGTTGATTTAAAGTTGAGTTAAATTTGAGTTTTGATGAGTTTTTTTACTTTAGAGTTTATATCCAATCAAAA